TTTTTACAGCAAAACGATCGATCACCAAGGTGTCCATTGCTAAGTCCGGGGTTAGCAGAGTTTGGCCGTCATCTGGTCGGACTGTTTGAGGATCTCGGTGTTGTACAGGTCCAGCGCGTGGTTCACTCGGATGATCTCGCTGTTGGTGAGCTTCAGGCGGTGCTTGAGCATACAAGAGAACAGATCCAGCTGCGGCTTCCCYGGGGCCACCGGAGGCGCCAGGCGGTTGATTCGGTCCCGAATATCCAGCAGCAAGAGCATGACGGAGGAGGAGGAGTAGAACTGCCCGCCCTGCGTGTAGGACTGGTTGACCTGCTGCACGGCGCTGCGCAGGAGGTCGGCGTTGAAGCGCAGGCTGTAGCCGTAGACCTGCACRTCCGAGATCTTGATGTAGAACTGGCGCTTGGTGGGGTCGGAAAGGTCCACGGGCCCTTGGCCAGTCTCGTTGCGCAGGAGGGTGGGCAGCCGAGTCCGGCTGCGTAGGTAGATGTGGACGGTCTCAAAAAAGGTTTTCCACCGGTTGCCCAGCAGCAGGGTCCAGTTGTAGCACTGGCTGTTTTGGAGGCGGGTTTTCTCCCAGCGCGGGTAGCCGTACTCCCCRAAGGGCATGTTCCAGCCCTCCGAGTGGCTCCCGCTGAAGGGGTTGACGTAGACGAAGAACATGGGGTCCAGGCTGCTGTTGCGCATCTGGCAGATGCGCATGGAGATCCCGATCACCATGTGGATGAAGTCCATCCGGTTCTTGTTGCTCTTCAGGGTGAGGGACATGCGCTTGCGCCACCGCGGGTCGAAGAAGGTGTCCAGGCGGATCTCGTTGCTGATGAAAGTGGTGTGCACGTACAGGCGCGAGTCCATCTTCTGCAGCAGGTACTTCAGCTCCAGGTCCTGGAAGTCCAAGTCCGTCTCAAAGCTGATGAACTGCTCGCTCCGCTCCGAGTCCACGTTCTGGGGCTCGCAGCGGCCCCGGTAAAGCTTGTAGCCCTTGTTGCACGAGCCGCAGAGGGAGATGTTGGCCAGGCTGCACATGGCACAGCTGTTGTTGCCCCCGATGATGCAGGGGATGGGGCGCTGGCACAGGCTGGTGCCGCCRTGGCAAACGCAGCTCCGCTGGCTTTCCAGAAAGGTCCCCCAGAACCCGTTCTCGTTGCAGTAGAGCAGGGACTGGACTCGGGTGAGCCATTCCTGTATCGTCCTGCGGGAGGGGAGGAGGAAGTGTTAGCATTGTAGGGCCTCATGGGGACTTGGGGTTGGCRTCTTGCTGGAGCTACAGAGTTTTCAGGGACGGATCTGAGGCAGAGCTCTCGGAACATCAATGCCCTGCTGAGGCATCTGGGAGCTATTCCAGTCTATTTCTAGACTGAATCTTTCATCTGCTCTTTACTCCTCTGGTGATGAGCAAAAGCCTTCTAAGAAATAGCAACCAGTGAGAGCTGCTCATCTGGTTCCTCACAGGGACCGTGTCCTGCCAAGGATCCCAGGAGCACCTCAGTGACATGGGAATAGAGCTGATAAAGCCATGCCAGAGGCTGAGGTGCAACAGGGGCAACAGAATTCCCACACAAGCAGGAGAAAACTGCTCTTCAGCTCTCTGGCAATTGGCCCCCTCCCCAAAAATAAGAGCTGTAAGGCCCAGCAAGAGCAATCTCTGCTTATGGTGCAGAGCTCCAAGCAGCAGAGAAGAGAGTGGAAGCCAAAATGCACAAAGCTGCTAAAACTGTTCCTCCTTAAAAGRAAACCAAAAACCTGCTGCTAATTAACCACAATTTTGCAGCCTCTCCCCTTCAAATCAGCCCCACTCGCCCACCCCTGAGCACCACCACTCCCACGGCTGCTGCATCAGCACCTTCACCCCCATGTCCTGCAGCCCTGGARCGACTCCTGGAGAATGACACTGCAGCCCACACGCGCTTTTTGCACATCCCACTTGCCACGTTGCCTCGTTTCCCCCTTTCCCCCCTTCCCAGCAMCCCAGGAAAGCTGGGCACAGCGACTCCTTTCTCAGCAGAACCCTCTGTGCAGCCGCTGCTCCCTCCCCTCCGCCTTCCCCCTGGCTAATGAATACTTCATTGTCTCCTCTGGGCAAAAAAGTTCTTGGTAGTGCTGCAGTGAGAGGACTGGCTAATGACAAATTAGGATTCAGGCCCTGTAGAACGGGAGGAGTGATTATGGACAGAGGCTCTCAGAGCTGGATTAGTGAAATTCATGGCACCTGCATCGCCTGACCTCCGAATAATCATTAAGCTGTAGGCTGTATCAAAGAAGGCATTAAATGATACAGCAGCAAAGAACAGCGAGATGATTAGGGGGAGGGAGAGAGCGGAGGGATGAGAGTGTAAAACRGAGGAAAGCACTGGAAGGGAAGAAACAACCAAGGAGCAGAAGCGGAAAGGTTGGGGAGGAAAGAGGGGAAAATGCGAAGGTAAAAGGAAAAATGAGAGAGAAACRCAGTGGGCAGGATTAATAGGGATGGAGAAAGGGAAAAGCTGCAACAGCAACAACTGAAAGGGAACAGGCAAAAATGAAAAGCAGGAAGAAAAGGAGTGAAAAGGGGGAAAAAAAGTCTGAGAGAGGAAAAAGAAAGGACATYCGAATAAAAAATCTGAAGTGCTGGATGTGGGAACAGACAATTTTCACATTCCTCCTGTGGCACAAGGCTGACAGGGTCTGTTTCCCCTATTCCCATCCCATCTCCTGCTGGTGGAAAGGACAAGGATGAGTGGGGAGCTTGGGAGCAAGGCAGTGACCTCCATAAATATCTGCTGAAGAGGGAGCCAGTGCCAGCCCTGGTCCCTGGAAAGTGCACCGGGCTCATCCTGATTGCTGGGCCAGCTCTGTCGCCGAGGAGAGGGGACAGCACAGCACGGGGGGACTGCAAAACACAGCCACGAGCACTCCCAAACCATCCCAGGGGGCTGAGGCTGCCCACTGCTCACAGGTGAATTTCTGATCACTTTTCAGCAATACAAATAGGTTTTATCCCAGCTGAAGCCTTGTGCTTCCTGTTTGGAAAGCCATCAAATGCCCCTGGATTTGTGCAGTGCTGGGTGGATGCTTCACACAGRTTTTAGGTGTTGATAATGCCCCTGAGTCCCTGGGCCAAGGACTGCCAGGCTGCAGCCAGGGACATGATGTAAATTAGAGTCAGGTGACCAAATTCTGTCCATTTTGGGAGTGTTCTGTCTTAGGAAAAAAAATCACCAGATAATCCTGTTCTTTTTTTGTGGAGGAAAGATCAGAGTTTGTTTTTTGTTGTGTGTGTGTGTGATTCTTAGCTTTCAGCAAAGACACAAGTAGGACTAAAAAAAAAACAAGAAGAAAATGAAACAGGAGACTACCCACCATCTGCTGATGGCAGCAGTAAAGGATGTAATTAAATGAAAATGCAGAAGCCAGGGCAGAGCTGGGCATCGACTACAAACACAACAATGGGAAGTGTGAGAGAGAGGAAAAGTTGTATAAATTACTCCATTTTTTTCTTGCAACTGGGACAGGTTAAGAATATACACAGAGCACTTCAGCTGACAGGGTAAATTCTTAAAAACCCACCCCTCTGATGGCTCAGGCTCATGGGATTGTACCCAAGAGGTGTCAGGGCAGGAGGGCGCTGGAAAGATCCACTGTTTGAAAGCTGAAWGCCAGTAGCAGGGTAGACTTTGGCTTTGATTTAAAATATTCCCAAGGAGGTGGTGGAGTCCCCATCCCTGGAGATGTCCAAGTCCTCAGTGCTCTGGGCTGGGGACAAGGACTGGATCAAGCACAGGTTGGACTCGATGGTCTTGGAGGGCTTTTCCAACCTCAATGATTCCATGATTCTAAAGTGAAASATGCAGGCCAAGCTCTGAGTGAGAATTGCTTTGCAGTGTTTTGTGGCTGTTATTCCTGGACATGTGGTTCCCTGGCAATGCTGGGAACAGGAAGCCAGACTGATTTTAGTTTTTTTAATTGCCAAGAAAAAAGGTAAGGACTTAAAAAGTTTTCCTTTGCAAACTCACCTTTCACTTTCCAACCAGCACTAGCTGCTCTGGGGTACTTTTGGGTACTGAAGAGYGAATAAAAATGCTATTTTTAGTCTCAGCAGCTGTGAGGTGTGTTCTTAGCTAATGACAATTTGGCTGGAGCCCAGAGTTTGTACAACCCTCCTCTCCATTGGATGTKATTTCTGAGTTACATTCCTATTTTACATCCAGTGTTTTAAAATGAAACTACAGCTGATCATTCAACAGCGAAGCTTTATCAGCTGAGGAGTGATCTTCTTTTTAAACCAACATATTTGCCTGTCTTTTAAACCCATAAACTTTCCTGGTTTTTGACAAAAGAAGCAAAGACCAAATCTATCTGTATCTATCTATCTATCTATCTATCTAGCTAGCTAGCTAGCTATATAGCTATATAGCTATACATCTACATATCTATATATCTATTGATATATCTATATATCATCTATATATTGATATATCTATACATCTATAAATCTATAAATCACATATATATGTATCCATCTATATGTCTATATTTTTATCYATATTTCTATATCTCTGCCTCCTTAGCCATTGCACCAGGTCATGTAGAATCAGCCTAATTACCAGGATCCCTACTCTTCCTTTCTTCTCTTCCTTTTGGAAATACCACCTCTTCCTTTCCCTGAGGACAATCAACAGCAATCTCATTTCTTTTTTTCTTTTTTTTTTTCACACTGCATTTTAATGTCTAATGCAGAGTTACAATTATGTGTATTAAATATAACAAAAATTATGTGTATTAAATACAATAAAAATATAAAGAGAGGTTTGCTCTTAACAGAACCTTGCCATCCTTTCAAAGCCACTGGCATGCTTGATGAGCCTCTGTCACTCTGTACAGCAACAATTCAAAAATGAGAGTATTTCCCAGCTCCTCTCAGTGAAGAGCACGAGGGACTGCACCTCTTCCACTACAGAGCTCCTACCACGCTGCTCCCCTGCCTAAGCTGCAGATGCAGAATGACAAATAAGAAAGGAAATGATAATATGCCTGCTGATGTTGACTTAAAACAAATCAAGCACATCAGTCAGTTAAAAACCCAGCTGCCATCATCCATTCCATCCTCCTTCCCCCAGATTTCATTGTAGTAGTTGGAGGCTCCCTTTCTGCTCGGCTGGGTTTTTRAAATAGATGAGGGATGCTGAAGACATATTTGCCTGAATGTTTTGGAGCAACGTGGTTGGCTGGAGATTTCCTTGCTGCTGTTGCTGTGSCACAACTGAAAATTCCCCCCTGGAAAGGCTGTGGCTCTCACCCTGGTCAGAGCAGCTCAGCCAGTTGGCAGGGATGGGCCAGGTTTAGGAAGCTCTCCAAAGATTTTATTTCATAATCTCTTACAYTTAATAGATATTTCTCCTCATCCCTGGTAAGTCCATCAAATCTTTGTCTAGAAACACGAGATTTCTTAGTAATTAAAGAGGTGTTAAGCCCTGGAAGAGTTTTCTGAGCTGTGCAGGGATRAAATGAAAAGTCAGCGTGCTCAGTGGCCAGGGAGATGGATGAGAGCAGTAGACAGCAGTCAGTCCATCAATTTTCTCTTGAAACTGAATATTTGGGTAATAAGGAAGTGGACAAACAGTTTCTCTACAAATATTAACATGGCCTGACCCTTCCATGAGAAGCATGGAAGAAAAGGCACTCAGACTCTTTTTTTTCTCMCAAGATTTTCAGTATTGCTTCACTCCAGACAATGTAGAAAGACACAGCAAGAGATGTTTATTAAAATCCATGAATGCAAGKCTCCAAAAAATGACTTGAAGCAAACGAACTCAGCTCCAGGTCAGGGCTGAAAGGAGCCAGCAGGAGGGGATTATTAGAGATCAATAGTTACTGTGGCAGTAATGGAAAATCTGCTCTCTCCACCTGTAATAACCTTGCAAAGCTTCTGCTCAGTGAGGTTCTGCTCCTCACAGCAGAAATGTGATGTGTTCTGAGTGAAACTAAAGCTTTTCTTTCCATCTGGAGATACTGAGCAGCACAACCCARAAAGGGGCTGAAGCATCTGGTGCTCCACAAGACCCCTTGAGCAGGAAGCAGAGGCTGAAAGCCTGGCTGTGAATCATGAGAGAAAACCACCAAAAATCAGATTATTCTGCAGAACAGAATAAACTATTCTTGCAGCATTTAAAGAATAAGTGATGCCCTTTGCCTGGGCGGGTAAAAACACACAGGAAGGGTGTCAGTGTAGCCAGGAATGTGACAAAAGTTACCTACACCTCCAGGAATTTCAATCTGCTCCCAAATTCTGCCCCTTCCCCCCCCAAACCTCCCTGCCAGTGCTCCCTCCATCCAAAACACAACCTCCAAGCCACCCACCCCAGCAGCCCGTGCCCCAGGAAGGATGGAGGTACCTTTCCCTAGGCAGCTGGTGGTTAGGATTGTGCCGACACCGGACACTGAGGCCAAAGAGTTTGCGGGCAGTGCGCTGGATCTTCTGGCGCTGGGCTTCCAGCGAGCTCTGCAGCAGCTTGTAGCGGTTCTGCAGGTCCCAGTCGTTCCCCCAGTGCTGGTGGATGCTCCCAATGGTCAGGAAGTGGTTGCTAGGTAGCCTTTTCATGAAGGATTTAAACTCATCTGGAACACACACACAGGAAAAACGGGGAGGAATAGGGAGGTTTTGGAGCGGTAATGAAAATACRGAGATTTTCATCAGCAGGGATGGACGAGGACATCAGCTCTGCCAGGGAAGGTGATGTCCATTAACTCACTGCCCTCTCACTCTGCCCCAGGAAACCACTAATTCCATGGCTTTTGCTGCTCCATACGGGAAAAAAAAATGTGTAGTGAGTATCAAGGTGAAACAGCACAGTTGAAGTGTA